AGGTGGCCAAGCGCAAGGCGTACACCCGCCCGCAGTTCCGTCGCCCGCACACGTACCGCAAGCCGGCGACCGTCAAGCCGAGCAACAACCTGAGCGCGATCCCCAACAAGTGGGACGCGTTCCGCGTGATCCGCTACCCGCTGACCACCGACAAGGCCATGAAGAAGATTGAAGAGAACAACACGCTGACCTTCATCGTGGACTCGCACGCGAACAAGACGGAGATCAAGAAGGCCATGCGCAAGCTCTACCAGGTGAAGGCGGTGAAGGTGAACACCCTCATCCGCCCCGACGGCCTCAAGAAGGCGTACATCCGCCTCTCCGCCTCGTACGACGCCCTCGAGACGGCCAACAAGATGGGCCTGGTGTAGGCGCACGGGCGAGCGTGCCGGGCGCGGCGTGGGGCGGTGTTGGTGGCAGGGTGCGTTTGTGCCTTTCTGTACATGTACTTTGTTGCCCGCCCGCGCTGCGTTGCCCTTCACCGGTCGGCGATGAAATGAAAGCCAATTAAAAGGGATTTTTTCCTTTGTTTCTGTTTTTTTTTTTCGAGCGTCTTTTGAAATTTGGTTCCCAAAAAACTAAAAAAAAAGGGGCACCTTGTTGGTTGGGGTGGCACCGTCTTTCTTACGGTGTGCAGCCTCTTGTGCTCTGCCCGCGGTGTTCCGCAGCGGTGCGTGACTCTCCCAACTGCGCTGCCTTCTTCTTCTTCTGCTTCTCTCCTTTAGAGTTCGTGCCGTGTGGACTGCGGCGCGGCTGCTGAGCACCAAAAAAAAAGGGGTGTGTGGTGGTGGTGGGGGGTGCGGGTGAGTCTCGTAGTGTTGCACAAGGACGAGGAACGGTCAGCCCTCTGGCGGGGGATTTGTCTAGACATACACTGTGAAGCGGCCTCCTACAGGGCGCATAAAAAAAAATATATATTTTTCTCGTTCCCCTCCGTTCTTTTTTTGGTCGTCGCGTCCGTTGTGGCTCAGTTTCGTCTGCTCCCTTTGCCGTTGTGCCCCCCCCTGCGCGTGGGTCCGCCTGCACTGGCGGGAGCGGAGGACGACCGGCGCAAGTGCACGGGAGGGGCGGAGTCGAGGAAGTGCGCGGGCGCAAAGCCATAGAGAGGAAGGGAGTGGTGCAAATTGAGTGCGTGCGGATCAAACAGCGAGAGACAGACAGGGCCCAGGTGAGTAAGACGCACACACGCCGAGACCAACGGCAACACGAAAAGAGGGATATAATATAATATAGTATATATATATATATAGTATATAGAAGCGCGGTAGGGGGAAACGGAGAGAAGAGTAATATATATATACGTATATATATATATATATATATACATATTGCGGCAGTGAGTTCCTGCCTTTTTTTTCTAGTTGGTGGTATATCCTTCGTGATGGAGAAGGTGTCTATTCTGCACGCATTTCCGAATGGGTCGACGTTTTTGGCGGATGCCCCCTCCTCTATCCTGCGGCACGCAGTCGGGGCGGCGGGCCAGCATGGCTCTAGTGACGCCGCCTGGGATAAAGTCCACGAGGCGTTTATGAATGCGCTGTCGGCGTCGATGACCTCCGCCCCGTCCTGGGCCCACGACGACGGTGAGAGGAAGGAGTTAACTGTGATGCGTGTGGTACCCATCACCGGCTCGGCGAGTTTTCACAGACGCCTCCTCGCAGATTGCGAAGCGTACTGTCGCCTGTGTCGGCGTCTGCAGCATGCCGTTGATTGGCTTCTTCTGAGGCCACCAACGCAGAAGAACAGGAACAGCTCCACCGTAGCGCCTTCCCACGCTTCTGATGTGGATTGTCTCTCTCATGTAGTTTACCCAACGGATCCCGCGGCGTTCCTGACAGCTGCCTTTGCGTTGCCATTGCTGGTCGCCGTTACCTCATCGTTGCCGGATGATGAGGAGCATGCGGCAAACGGAGGGCAGGATGGATCGCACTCTTCGGAGTCGTCGCGAACTGTGCCGTACTGTTTCTTCTACAAATGCCCGGGACAACGCTTGTGGCAAAGTGATGCTGCTGGGACTCATTCCCGTGGTAGTTATGGCGACGAATGCGCTTCGGAGGGGCCCAGACTGACTCTAATGGAGCGCGTCACCGCCGTCGCCAACGTGGCTGGCGTATGTGGGTGTGTCTCCCCGCTTCACAGCGCACTGAGTGTGCGCAACCGCGCCAAGATTGGGCTCACGCTCGCGGCATATTTGGAGGGTTGCCTGCCTCTTTCGGTGACTACCAGTGACGGAGGCGCACCAGAGACCGTCGCGACGGCGGGAGAGGATCCGTTTTCGCGCTGGCAGGACGATATACTCTGGCGCCTGCTCGGGTTGCTGGTGTCGGCGCTGGCTGTGGTGCACGCGTCCGGGTTTCACTTCTGCGGTGAGCTCTCCGCAGACGACGTCCTCTGCTTCGCGCTGCCCGACGACGACGACGACGACGGCGGCGGCAGCAGCGCCGTCGCCCAATACGCGCCGTGGCCGGAGAAGAATCGGGGTCCCAAGTCCATTGGCCAGCGCCTCAACGCGTGGGTGAAGGGAAATCAACGAGGTTGGCTTATCACAGACGCCACTCCGGCGCACCACGCCTTCTTTATGTTCACCATCCTGCCGCGGTCTCTCTTCATGGAGGAGGCAAAGGCGCCGGCTGACGTGGCGGCGGCGGCGGCGCAGCGGCGCGACACCGCCGCCGTTGGCCGTATTCTTCTGACTGCTGTGGAGGAGATGAAGCGGCGGCGCGGGGCAAAGGGGTTGAACAGCTGCTCGGAGCTTCTTTTCGTCGCCGAGCGTATGGCAGCTGTAGAGGGGGGAGGCGGGAGAATGCTGGAGTCGGAGGCCCCGGCCCGCCGCTTTTCGCAGCTGCAGGCCGTGCAGCTGCGCACCTACCTCTGGCTGCTGCGTGCCATTGTTGAGGAACGCGACGCCCAACTCGCCGCTGCCCTTCTGCAGAACAGCAGCGCCGCCAAGAGCAAGGAACCGGAGATAATTTCGGCTGCGCCGCCGCCCTCTGAGGATAGCCGGGCTTTCCTGGAGGAATTGCGGGAGCGGGACCGTCTACTCAGCGAGCGGGAGAGGAAGTTGGACCGCTTCCTGCATCTGTACGAGCTGACAGCCGAGCGCCTGGATGAGCTGCCGGTAAAGCAGGATAGTTTTGAGTACCTCCGACGGTCGTTGCTGCGCACACCACGCTCGCAGCCCACACCGACGCCGAGAGCGGCACCACGCACGCCGTCGGCGGCTGCGCCCATAGGGCCGGCAAAGGTCCGGCAGCCGACTGCAAGGCCTACGCGACGCCCGGCGACAGCGGAGTCGTCGGAGACCACGCCGTCCGATCGTGTCCGTCCCCTGTACGGCCTTTTGCGTTCTTCAAGGGACGACACTGCGGGAGCTGCTTCGGCTTCGACTCCCACAACGGCCACCTCGTCACGCTCCGTGGCGGTTCCGCCGGGCAGGGAACGACGGACATATGATGTGACCCCGCGGCAGGCCGGACTTCGGGCATCCTCGGAGTCCGCGTCGCGCCGCCATGTCGTGGCGACGGGCTCGTCGTCTCTGTTGCACCTGAATTGGAAGACGGTTGGGAGTATGCTTTTCCGCGAGGGTGTGACTGCCGCGGCGGCGACCGCCAGATCGCCCCGCGCGTATCGACCGAAGAGTGTCTTGCCTGGGAACGGTGGCCGCGCCTTTACCGCCCGACCCGAGGCGTCTTCTGCTCTTGCGACGGCAGCAGCATCGGCAGCAGCGGCGGGAAAGGCGCCCGCAGCACCCTCGCCGGCGCGCCGTGAGCCCTCGCCCGCCGCGGCTGCCTCTAGCGAGGAGCGGGCGCGACACCTGACGCCCTCGCGGGGCCAAGCGCGGGTGTCCGTCCTGCTCTCTCCAGACGTTTCCCCGCTGGCGCGTGTGGCAGACGACAACTCCTCGTTCCTTCTCGCCACGGGATACAAGACACCCCCGCGCACAACCTCCATCACCACCCCGCCGCGGTCACGCGGTGACGCGGCGTCTAACGTGTGGAATAGGCTGTCGACGCCGCACTCGACGAGTGGCACAACGCAGGCAGCGACCCCGAGGCACACGCACGAGAAGGCTTCTTTACGCTACGAGCGGGAGCCAAAAATGAGCCCTGCCTCTGAATTGGCGCTCAGCCCAGTCTCTGAGCACTTGTCAGGCACCACCCCGAGGAACAAGGCGTCAGGCTACAGCCCCTCGTTGTACGTGGCGCCTCCCAAAGCGGCGACTAATTTATTCGCAACGCCGCCCTCGGCAACGAAACGGGGCAAAACACCCGGCTTCGGTGCGCAGAGCCCTCCAATAAAGGGCGACAGCAGCGTTCAGGTGATACAGATGCACGACGACAGCGGTGACTCGTTCTGCTTGGACGCCTCTCGCGAAGCACCGCTTGGGCGGCAGCGCGGCGACGGCGTCAGTGGGTCTAACAGTGGAAAGACGCGGACCCCAGTGGCCCGCTCGCTCGATACTACGCAGCGGCTTGCCTCAAGCGGGGACACGCCCGCCTCGAAGTACCTCAATGGCTCCGACAACTTTGCGGGGGGGCGGCAGCCCGGCACCTCTCAGCAGAGTACACCCAGGCGCCCCCAGTCTCGCCTCCGCAAGGAGCGGGAGGAAACCGCGACGCCTCGCACGTCCCGGCCGCGACTTGCCAACGATGGCTGGGTGGACCACAAGCTCGAGGCTCTTGAGCAGCTGCGCTACGACTTCCAGCAATCGGAGCATGCCAAGGGTGCACGGAGTCCGCCCAGAGGCGAGGCATTTGCCAGAAGCGCCAGGGAGCCGAACGCTGCCAGCGGCTGGGGGGCGTCCACGCTGCCGGCAGATGGCGGGAAAAACGGGGGAACCTCCGCGTGGGGCAGCAGGAGCGGCCAGCCCGCCGCGCAAGCCGCCAGTAACGGTGCGAAACGCATGTACTGAAGTTGCCGTAGCGGCTTGCTGGCGAAGACTCCTCCCGCGACCGCCACACAACAAGAAACAAAAAGAAAACAAAAAACAACAACAAAACGAACGGCAAAATCAAGTACACACGCATAAATAAAAAAAAATCGAAGGCAAGGAGGGTGAGGGAGGGCGATGATCTCTACTTTGCCTCCACCGCGGCCTCACTGTATCCGCTGCACTGACAATGTAGATAACCGCGAAGGCAAACTTGAGCGAATAAGCGCAACTATGCAGCGAGAGTGAGTGGGTGAGGGGAAGGAAGTGGGGGGCGGCAAAAGGCGCATGACAAACAACCCGCAGTAAATGGAGGAGGAGGAGGATGCGAGAATACGAAGAGAATTGGACTTCTTTGTTTTCCTCTAAGAGCGTTTCTACACCGCACTTGCTTGCATCGCGCGCCGCACTGTTTTTGTGTTTTTCCCTCTCCTCATTTTGCCGCCCCGCAGCAGACAAAACCGCAAGAGAATCCCCCATTCTGCTGTTGCTGCTGCTTTGACGCGGAGGGTGACGCTGGCAATGAGCCTGTTTGCCTGTGTTCTCCCCCACCCCTTTTGCGCTTGTGTTGGCCGCTTCTTTGGTTGCGCGTGCATCCTCCCACTCCTTCCCCTCCGCTGCACGGCACCGTTAAAGACGCACGGAGGAGAGGGGCGGGGACGAAAGCACACGCACGCAAAGCACGAAGCCAGAGGCGGGGGCCGGCAAATGGTGTCGGCAGCAGAGGGTGCCGTGCTTATTTTCCTCCGAAATGTGGCTTGATTCTTTTTTTTCTTTTTTCGTTCAATTTCAAGTTCCGTTTTTTTCCCCCCCCCCTTTTACTCCTGGCTCGGTGTGCACGCTGCCCAGCATAAGCCCACGCCGTAGTTTATTTCATTGTTCCTGCATCCTCCTTCCGCCCCTTTTTTTTTCTGTACTTCCGCCGCCCTCATCATCTGGCGCCGACGCTTCCGCCGCCCTCGCGCCATCGGAAGCGTCGGCGCCGGCAGCTGCCGTGGGTGTGTGGGCGCGGGGGGCGGCGAAGTGCATGAGTATGAACACGATGTCTTCTCTGTCCGTGCCACACTCTCCACACAGTCATTGCTACAACCAGCCGTTTTCTCTTTTCTCACTTTTCTTCTTTTTCGTTCTTCTGTCTTTGGTCTTTTTTGGGCGCCTTAACGGCTTCAAGGCGCCCACAGCAGTTGACGCCACACAGCAAGCGGGGTGGGGGGAAGGGTGGGGGCGGGAGCGATGGAGGACGATGTCGTGCGGCGGCGGTGCGCGGTCGTTGTTCAGCAGCTCCTCTACAGTGGGGAAAAACGTAAGGTGCGACGAGCGCAGCAGCAGCGTCTGCTTGGCGCCGCGGCGGAGGAACTGCGGCAGCGTTCGATGCTGCTCTACCGCCTTTGCCGCGCAAAGCACGAGAAACTCGCGTCGGACCAAACTGAAGACGCGGCGTACTGCGTGTTGGCGGCCGTCGCCTCCTGCCAGCCGCCGTTATGGGCCGTGTTGACGGACTGGAGCCGCGTACTGCGTCCACGAGCCCCCGAGCTGCGCTTTGGGGCGCCTGTTCTTGTGACAGTGCGGCTGCGGGAGGTGGAACAGTTCATCGCCCGCACTCTTCACCTTCTGCCCGCACCGGACGCCGAGGACGCCCCTTCACCGGGAAGGAGCAGCAGCGCCACTGCGACGGGCGCATCGCTGACGCGTGGCGGCGCGAGGAAACGCCCACGAGAGGAGGAACACGCCCCGGGGGCGAAGTTGGGTCCGGAACTCGCAGCACAGTTGGCGTTCGACTACTTTCAGCTCAATATGCCGAACACGAAGAAGTTCTGCGCCGTCGTTGCCGCCTACGAGAAGGCGTCGGGCGGGGTAAGGCTGGTCGAGAACAGGGAGGAGTCTGCACCCGCAAGAATGGCGACTTCGTGTGGCTCAAGGAGCAGTAAACATGGCGCTCTGGGAGGCGATGGTGTGAGTCTCAGCAGCCATCAGAATAGTTGCCATGGCGCTGGTGACTCACTTCCGGCAGAGGGAGAGGAGGACGATGTGGGCGACTATTCGCTTCTGTTCCCTCCGTCGTCGTCGTCGTTGCCTGCTGCTGCGACGCCTGGAACTGCGTTTTCTGTGACGTCGCTTCAGTGCTTTGCTTCCTCGATGAGTTTGACTGAGGTCGCCGACAGGGTCGAGGCGGCCTGTTCCACGCTGTTTTTTGACCGACTGCGGCGCTGCCTGCGAAACCCTTTGCTGTACTCCCCGTTGGCCTCCATGGGGGCGGCCAGCGCCGGCGTGCTTGGCGACGCACACCATCCTCCGTTGCCTGCAACGCAGCTCGAGGACGCCTACTTGCGTGCCTGCCAAGGCGCGCTGGGGGAAGGGGGCGGCTCACTTTCCTTCCCCACACATTTTCTACACCCGCTGCGGGCGCGTCCAACGTCGTTGGTGCCGCTGCCCCTTCAAATGGTCACCGCGGAGCAGCTGTGGAGGCGGTTGCTGGTGGCGGGCCTGTGGCTGCACGTGGCTGGCGCCGCGGTGGGTGATGCCCCCGCACTGCCTGAGGTGAGCCGCTACTGCGTCACCGTCGTGAGGGCATCGCGGGGTGAACCGTGCTGCAGCGTCTGTGACACTCTAGTGCGGGAGAAGCCCACCTTGCGACTAGCTGCCTTGACACATGAGGCGGAAGCGCGCGACGACAGCCAGCCCATTCCTTCCTGGGAGGAGATGAGGAGAATGGAGGCGGCCGCCTCCGCGGCAAACGACTCCCTCTGTGATGAACTCGTGCGTTGCCTTTCGTATCGGCTGGAGCAGAAGGTACGTGAGCAGTTGGGCCGTGACCCCTATGCGCCGTGCCATGCCTCGACTGCAGTAAGGGCGGCGGCCGCCACGAATCGGGGCACTCGTGCATCCTTTTCCACGCCTCCCCCCGCGTCAGACAGCTTGCTGGAGTTGCTCATAGAGGTTGAGGGGGATTATCCACTCCCCGCGTGCCGTGCGGCGTTGCTTGGGGAGCCCGAAGGCGAGGCGGCGCTCCGGCAGCTGCTGAGCGATGCATCCACGGCGGCGGGCAAAGCGACGCGCACGCCTCACCCTGATGCGGCTACGAAGATGTCTCGGGAGGTAAAGGGGCTACTGGACACCGTTCCTTGCATTCCGCGCCTACGCGAGGCCGACGGGGTGCTGGAGTGTGCTGCGTGTCTGCAGCAGTTTCACCAGGGATGCGTCTGCCCCGTGCAGCGAGAACCCGCTGAGGGAATTTTTTTGTGCCACGCATGCCGGCTCGCACGTGGCCTACGGTTGCTGCCGCCGCTCCGCTGCGGCACCGTCACGAATGGCGGCGCAACTACGGCGAGAGACGGATAGCGGCCTAGAGGCCAGACGGCACCTCCCTCCCCAAGTTGCACTTGGCTCCATGCGTGTATGTGTGTCTGTGTCTATACTCCGTTGTCGCCTTCGCCAGGAAGTAGCGTGCACCCGCACACAAAATGCCACTGTTTCTTCCCCCCTCCCCCGCATATACACATATATGTATGAATGTGTATATGCGCTTATTGGGGTTTAGGAGGGCGCCGGTGTTTTGCAGTTCCCTTCACACTGGTGCCGTTTTCCGCCCTTCTGCTTCTGTTCCAACGCCATGGCGTTTTCTCACGCCCCACCGGCGAAGGTGAGACCCACACAAACAGACATTGCCAACGAATAAATTAACGACGGTGCATCTCACGGGGCTCAATTGCACTTTGAGAGGTCTCGAAGCGGTGAATTTGTGAGCGCGGAGCCACATGGCTGGGAGGGCGTGCCTTTGGCTCCTGTGAAAGGCCAAGCTGCGCTGCAGCGACGTTGCAGCAAAGCACTCTGCTCCTTGCCTTGCGGCACGTCGCCGGGCGCCGTGCGCAGCGTTGCCACTTCAGCGGCACTACTGTCCATTGCCGCAACGCTGACCTCGCAGAGGCCGCCTTGCCGCGACACAGTCAAGAATGCCACCTCAGGCACATTGCCACGAGGCAGGCGGGCGCGGGATGTCGCCGCCGTCTTCAGTGCACCTCAGTCGAAGTCTCCCTTTCTCCTCCTCCTTTGCTTGGGCGTGGCACGGACACGAAGGGGTGGGGGGGGCTGCGTGCCTGCTTGCGGGATGTTCGTTTCCAATTTTTTTTTTTTTGCCTTTTTGAGATCATTGTTATTATTATTATAAAAAAAACTACAAAAAAAAGGCTGTGAGGTCAAGAGAGATATAAATATTTAATTATTTATATACATATTTTGCCCGCGTTGCTTTGCAGAGATGACCGCTGCTGAGACCTGCGCCGGCCGCCAGTCGTTTCTCGTGGTCTTTGACTTCGACCACACGGTTGTCGACTGCAACACCGATGAGGTGGTGCCGCAGTACTTGGGGCGCGGCGACTTCCAACGCGCCCTGCTGGCGGCGGAGACGCCCATGCAACCGACGAACATCGTGGACGCCGTTTTGGCGCCGTTTTCACGGGAGCAGCTCGAAGACGCCGTGGAAAAGAGCGTCGTGATGGACGCGGGGATGCCCGACATCTTCCGTTTCCTCCTCCAGCAGCAGCAGCAGCAGCAGCAACGGCGCGGTGCGCCAGACGAGGGCGTTGCCACTCGTCCGCAGCTTGAGATTGCCATTGCGAGCGATGCCAACATGCTGTTTATAGAGAAGAGCATTGAACACCATATTCCCTTTGCCCGCCACGCCATTGCGCAGATCCACAGCAATTCGTTTCACGACGTCTTCGACGGTGGGGAGTTGCGGCGCTGTCGCGTCGGCTGGTACGAGGCGGCGGGCCACAATTGCCCCAACTGCAACGGCAAGAACCACCTCAACATGTGCAAGAGCCGCATCGTCGCCCGCCTGTTGCACGCCAGTCGTCTCATTGATCCCACCATTATTTTTGTCGGTGACGGCGCGAATGATTTTTGCCCGGTGCTCAACATGCTGCGGCCGCGCGATTATTTCCTCGGACGCCGCGGCTTTGCGATTCATCGCCTTCTCTCGGACGAGCGCAGCGCGGCGGGGGGTTGCTGCAGGGTCGACTTGTGGTCCAACGCCAACGAGTTGCTGCAGAGCTTCAAGCGCGCCATGGATCCCGCCGAGCGGTTGCCGACGCTGGCTCGCTTTCGCGACGTGGGTCCACGCGAGTTCCGCACCGTGACTTTGCTGCAGCGCGTTCCGCAGGTCCTCGCGCGGACGCTGAAGGCGAATGAGACGCACATCACAGCGGAGGCGCGGCGGCTGATTGACGCCCTCGCCGAGGCGACGCGGAACAACGCGGCGGTGGCGCCGCTCCCTGGCCAGCAGGTGGTGCCGCCTTGGCTGCAGGCCTATGCCGCCGTGCCAGAGTATGACAGGGACGCCCACGCGTTGCCCCAGCAGCAACGGCGGCAGCAGGAGGCGGGGGGCGGCGCAGTTGTGGCCCCGCGCTGGGGCCAGCTGCCGTGGCTCCTGGGCGAGATTTACTTCTACAACCTTCTTGCACAGTACGTGCTGCTGGCGGAGGCTGGCGCCGGCAGCGACGCGAAGCCGTCCGCGGACGACTGGGCCCCAAACATCCTCACTCCGTATGCGGTGTGTAATCCAATTGGCACGCACGACTGCCCCAGTGCGCCGCACGGGGTGATGACGGCAACGGGCGCCACGCCGGGGCAGTCATTTGACGCCTCTTTTCTCGCCAAGGACGGGTCGACTTTCGGGTCAGACACGATTGTGGTGCAGGACGGCAAACTCAAGTACCGTGACATCGCCGCTGGTGATGCCGTCGTGCCACGGCAAGGATACTTTCAGCCCTACCGCGACTTTTTTATGCACGAGAAGTGTGAGGTGCTGCACAATTTCTTGAAATGCAAAATATGTCCTATGCTTGCGTGTGCGCCGTGGGAGTCGGATGACTCCTTCGTTCCAGTGCTGCTGCGCTGGATGCTGTGGGGCAACGGCGTGGATCTCTCCATGTTCACGCTGGAGCAGCTGCGGGAGAGCCACGCCGTTGCGGCGGCAGGGTCTGGCAGCAGCGACGGGAAGAGTGAGGCGTGGGCGAGGGAGAAACGACCCGAGGGGTTCGCGGCGGCCGCGACGGATGCCCTGCGTCTGGCAGAGGCGCAGTCGGTTGCGGGGCAGGACGACCGCATCCTTGGCAACCAGGTGGCGGCGGTGGCGCAGCTCATCCGCAGCATCGTGCGCACGGAGCCGGGGAAAGACGAGGCGGGTTCCCGCACGATCGACATTGTGATGGACAACGTCGGGGTCGAGTGTGTGGCGGACCTCATTTTCTGCCTTTGGCTGCTGCACCACCACCCCTCGCTGCGCGTGACGCTGCACGTGAAGTGCATGGCGTTCTACGTCTCGGACGTGACGCCGCCGGACATTGCGTTCCTCCTTCAGGAACTGGAGGCATGCGCGCTGCAGGAGCCTGCGATGGCGGCGGTGCTGACGCCGTTCCTGCGACTGGTTCGCGAGGCCCTCGGCGGCGGCCGGCTGCGCATCGACGCCGATGCCGTGTGGACGCAGCCGTCCGAGTACCGTGAGCTGCCGCCGCGGGTGTGTAACACATTCTTCTTCACGCAGCGGCTGCTGTCGGAGGCGGAGATGCAGCAGCAGCAGCAGCAGCAGGCGCAGGCGCAGGCGCAGGCGCAGCAGTCGACGTCGTTTTCGTACGACGCCTGCAAGCGCTACACGTCGCACTCGGCGCTTGTTATTTTCAAGGGCGATCTTAACTTTCGCCGTCTCGTCGGTGACCGTCACTGGGACCGCCACGCATTCGTCTCGACGCTCACCCCCACCGAGCGTGACGCCCCCGCGGTGTCGGAGCTCCTGCTCGCCGACACACCGCACGCCTGCCACGGCCAGCGTCGCCCCGCCCAGGAGGGCGAAGATGCGGCGGATGAAATTATCAGCTTCCAGCGCATTGTGTCATCCTACTGGCCGGTGCACGCCGTGCCGGTGTGTGCCATACGCACCATAAAGAGCGAAGTGAGCATCGGCGTGGGGGCTGCGCGGCAGAAGGCGTTGGACCGCGCAGATCCCACCTGGAGGACGTCAGGGAAATACGGCGTTATACTCCTTGCTTCCGGCAGCCTCTGAGGATGAGGTGTAAAGGGCGAGGATGGCAAAAGTGCAAGAATCAAGCGAATTATAGTGGTACCAATAATAATATTTTTTCGGTGCTTGTGTCGACGAGTCTGTGCGTGTGTGTGTGCAGAGAGCGAGGGCAGGAAGGCCATATTTTTTGACTCACACATGCTTCGATGCCTGCTGCCTGTTTTCTTCCACTTCATGAGGTTGGAGTTTGTGTCTTGGCGTCCCCCCCCGCCCCCCGCGACTTCTCTGGTTTTTCTTTTTTGTCGCATGCTCCGCATAATCGTTTTCTCTCCCTGCTCTCCCTCTCTCTCTCTCCTCCTCTCTGCGTGTCTCGCTGCAGATGCAGTTACGGTGCGGAGGGGCCCGCAGCCAGTCTTGTTCCGTCCACGCCGATTCGATGCAGCGAGGTCGAACACCGCCCGCTTTGAGGCTCCTGCCGTGGCCTGCGCTCCGGCTCTTCTTGCTGCTGCTCCTGCTGCTGGTAATGCTGCCGCCGCGCTCCGCCGCTGCGGCGCTTGACTCTTCTATGGCGCGACTGGAGGAATTGGTGCGGTCGTCGTCGTCGTCGTCGGCGGCGGCGGCGGCAACTGCTGCCGATTACCCGCCCACCGTCTGGGAGGTGCTGCAGTTTGCTGCCACCGCCCGGCACCTAGAGGACCGTATTCTTCAGCAGAACCACCACTGGTGATGTGCTGTGTTTGTAAACGTTTCCTCAGACACGATGCGACGGAACGCGTGCAAATTCATGCAAGAGACTATTCTGCCTACGGTGATCCAATTGGGCCGGAGACAGCAAGAACAACAGGCGCCGGGGGAGCATCGGCCAGCGGCCCGGGTGGCTGTGGTGGACATCAAAGACGCCAGCGCATATTTTGACCTGTACACGTTCGCCCAGTTCTTTGGCATTGACGGCGCCAGTGTGCTTTCCGGGGCGGTTGAGGGTCTCGAGCTACTGGCCTGCGTTGAGGAGATGGTGAAGAGCGGCCGTGTGATGCCTGGGACACGCACCGACCTGGAGGTGCCCGTTGTTCTCCTGTTTCGCCCCGGCGCTGCGGCGTACCTCCGCAAGGGGCGCCAGTGGACGCCGCAGCAGATTGCGGAGACAACGTCGCTGCGCATGTTGGCCGACGTGGCCCAAATGGAGCCGTTCATCGCGGAGGTGCCGCAGGGGACGGTTGCGTCGCCGCTTTCCCTTCCGCAGCATCTTCTCGCTGACTACGAGCGCTGCCTCGCGGCGCCCCCTCGCACCCGCGCGAGTGCGGCGGCAAACCAGCGGGCGGCGCCGACGGTGACGCGGCCGCTGACGATGCCACGCCCGGCCTCCTCTCCGAGGCGGAGTTGCGGCAGCAGCAGGGGACGGCAATGGAGGCGTTGCGCCTGGCTCCCCTGTGGCTGCGGGGGCGGAAAAAGGAAAACCCCGGCGGCGTGGAGGCTCGCAGAGACCTGCCCGCGGAGGATCGCGTGGGAGCGGTGAAGAGGGAGTAAGGCGGTGACCCACGCGAGGACACAGCGCACACTCTCCACCGCCAGGCGGAGGAGCTCTTTGAAGAGCTTTGAGGTGAGAGAAATCCCATGGATCGATAAACACCGCACGCGAATGGGGAAAAGGAAAGATAAAATGTCTACATGAAAACTCTTTTTTATTATTTATTATTATTATTTCTTTACGCTTTTCACTTTGCCCTTTTTTTTTTCTCCCCTTCCCCCCTCTTGTTGTTTCTTTCCCCTGACTGAAGGACACATGTGGGGCGCGTGAGCGTTGCTTTGTGCTGGCCAATCGGGCAATTCCCCTCCGCTCTCTCGCCCCGCACTGGACGGATCACACGCGCCCAGAAGAATAATCGGGGCGTCGTTGTATTGAAGCAGGGAACACAGGCACACTTTCGGGGATTGCCGGCTAACGTACACGGGTTGGTTACGTCCCCACGTGCGTGTGCGACCAACTTTTCTTTCTTTTCGTTTTATGTTTATTTTTATTTTTCTACATATGGGGCGAGAAGCTGCAGAGCGGGACACGCGAATTTTCGAGGATCTGCGAGGGAGAGAGTTTGTGTGTGTGTGCATGTGTGCATGTGTGCATGTGTGCCCCTTGATTGCCTGTCACCGCTATTATTGCACTCCACTGCTCGTTTCCTCCTCTTTCTCTTCTTCCTCCTCATCCTCGGCACCGCCTACCCCCTTCCCTGCTTGAAACTTCAGGTCGGGAGCTGCGAGTGAAAGCAGGCAAGCAGCTCATTGGGCGGACTACCAAACTGTTTTCGTTTAGGTTGGCTGTTGCGTGTAGCTCTGGCGGCCTGAATGAGCGGGCTTCGTCGAAGGTTGTTGGCATCCCCGCTGTTTCATGTGCTCTTTAGTGGTGGTGCGACTGCCGTGCCAGGACCGGGTCTTCTTGCCATGGCAGGCCTCTTTACGGCGGTGTTTCTCTTCCTGCCATGGTCGTCGCATGCCGGGCAAGTCGTCTTCATAGTGGCTGCCTTTGTGCTTGGGGTATCCTTCGCGGCGTTGTACTGGTGGCTGGCCCGGCCGCGTTCGCCGGCGGCGCAGCTGCAGAGCGAGGGGGCTGTGGATCAGGCTATGCCCCAGTACGACGGCAGTGTCTCTCTACGGAACCATAGAGGCATCGGTGCCAAATACAGGCCACAGGAACAGGGAGAGGAACACTCACGATGTGCGCAGCTGCTTTCTCAAGGGTCGGCTGGATGCTGCTCCTCGGCGTCCTCATGCCCCGTGTGGTGGCACATCGCTCTTCCGACCTTCGAGCTGTGTGTTTTGGGCCTTCTTGTGCTTCTCTCCCCACACGTGATGGTGACAAATGTGGAGAGTGCAGGCAGGATTGTGTCAACTAGCGTGAACGCCTCCGCAGAGCAGCGAAGATACCCCGTGGCGAATGTGTGGAAGGTAAACCTTCTCCATGCTTGGTTTCTGTTTGCGTTTCAACTCCCCTTGGCCGCTGGGCTTGCCGTTGGGCTGCTGCACTTCGCGGTGCTGATGGCGCACTTTAGCTACCTGGGCCTTGGCACCATGGCGGCATCGCTGCTGTGGCTCCTGGTCCCGCTTTGCTGCCTCCCGTTCGCCGCGGTGCAGCAGCACCGACAGCGTTGTTGTTGTTGGCGGCGACTGAGTGGCGGCTTGCTCGACGTGGGCGGCGACACACTCTCCTCCACGCCTCACGCGAGTCACTATGTGCTTCACGACGCGTATGACCCGACGGGGGATTTGCCCTCCGCCCGTTATGCACTGAGGCAGGCGGCGGAGGGCGGAGTGCCGCACCGCCAGGGACCGCGAGCAGCTTCCTCCGGGAATCCCGGGCATTTTTTTGCTGCCTTCCCAGCACTGCCGCCGTCGCTCCGCCAGCAGACTCACTCTGTCGCAAACGACGCACCGCTGAATGAGCCGCTTGACTCCGTTGTGCTGCGGCACACCAACGCTAGTATGACTTCTTCTAGCGGCATCCAACCGCCGTATCTTCTGCTTAGCCCAAATGGCGGCATCATTCTTGGCACTAGTGAGAGTTTTGCGGCCCATGTCGGGATGACGATGGAGAGTCTCATGGGCCGAAAGTTTCTGTCGGTTTTGGGCTGGTTAGCGGTGGAGAACATGCGGGCGTTGGCGGATGTCATTCAAGAAGTCGCCTCCGCCTCCCCTCACGACGGCGGCGTTGCGGTAGGGGACGACGGAGCCAAGGCAGACCGTCGCTCGTGTGTTGGGGGTCTTGGGCGACGCTCGCTGCAAGCGGAGTGGCAGGCGGAGGCAGAGGCAGAGGCAGAGGCAGTCAAGGAGTCGCGGGAGGCTGAGTATTCGACGGCGCAGGGCGCCCAGTCCCCGGCGCGCATGGGCGATGGCACGGTGCAGCGTATTCTGCTCCGAGGCCGCCGCCCGTGCCGCCCTTCTTCCGCGTGGAACCCGCCACTGGCAGAGGACCAGGAGGCGGCTTCCGCCCGGGCCCGCGCGGGCGACGCGGGCAAAGAGTTTTCCCCCCTGGAGCTTAGTTGTGGAGGCGGCGAGTATTTTTGCCTCTCGCTGGACGTCTGGATGGGGCGTCGACGGGAGTCCACTGAAGGCCTGCTCGTCCTCTGCCAGCCTCGCCTTCACTGCGTGCTGGACTGGACGCCGCTGGCGTGCTTTGTGGTGCACCCTCTCACGGGCTGCGTGCTGCACTGGAGCCGTGAGGCGGAACGGCAAACAGGGAGACTGGCGTACGACGTGGTGGGGTGGCAGGCGCACGCCCTCCCCGCCCCCCACTCCACGGGTTTCGGGACTCGTCGCCACGACGGAAGCGAGGATAACGTGGGGGAAGGCGAAGAAGCAAGGCGACGCGGGGCGCGGTTGGAGCCACCTCTGCAGGCAATCCTTCAGCTACCGCCCTGTCCAGCTCTTGCTTTCTCTGTGACGCTGCAACCACTTACTGGGAGCTTCGTAGAAGAAGAAGGGGCGGCCTTGGAAGGCGGTGTGACTGGTCTTGTGTGGCCCCCACTGCATTCGTCAACGCAGCGGGAGACACGCACTACCGCGGATGGCCGCAGGGCGGCAAGCTATCCACTGGAGTCGAGATGGGGTTGCGCACACGGGTCGGCTGAGGGCGAGGTGGGCGGGGACAGGACTCCATTTCCGCCTCGAGGTTTGCCTGAGCCCTCGCTGAAGGCTTCTGGTGGCCCTGCCCAGGGGAAAGCCGGGTGGTGCTTTGCCGCCCTGGCAAATGGCCGGGAAGTCGCCTCTGCATGGGTCTCTGCGGGGGTGCCGCTCCTGTTCACCGTACACGAAGAAGCAAGCATGCCTCTTGACGGCCCTGCGCTGAGTTCTTGCGTGAAGCCGGGGCAGGATAGCATGCACGCCTCTGCTGGAGTTCTGCCTGAGCATCAGACCGTTTGGGAGAACCTGCCCCAGCAGGCTGTGCACGAGGTGTTGCCCGCCCCACCAACGGTGGAGAATGGGGTGGCGGATACCTGGGGCGCGCCGCCGCAGGGAAATGGGGCCAAGTGGGACGTGGACCACCAGTCATCTGGGGGGGCGTCGTCGCAACGAGGAGGAGCGGCCACGCACGCGCCGCACGTGACGGAAACCGACGCCGGAAAAGAAACCGCCTGCAATGAGGATGACAAGCAGGACCCTGGCGCGAAGGCCACCGGGGGCGAGGGGTCGCTGAAACTGCCGCAGCTCTCCACCCGCCCTGCTGTGGGGCTCACTCCGACGCAATTGTCGTTGCAAGCATCCCTTTGCAATAGCCAACATTCTTCGCCTCTCCTCGGCAACGCGCGGAAGGTGGCGGACGCAGAACCCGCGCCCGCCGACACACTTGGAGGCGGCAGCGACGCAAATGAGGACGGTCGCGACGACGGCAGCAAACAGCGGGGACAACGCGGCAGTGGCAGTGGGGGACGTACGGCGCTCACACCATTGGGTGATCGGAGCCCCAGCAAGGTGAGAGCCATGCAGGTGCCGCGGCTTATCAGTCCGCTGCCACGAGAAACCCCAACAGGTGTGCGAGGGAATGACGGGGATGCCCGTAGTGAGACAGTGTTCTCGGGAAGGCATCTGGACTCCAATCCTCAGCAGCCGTCTTATTCGCAGCAGCTTCAGCCTTCGCTGCTTTCGCCGCAGCCCCTGGCGAGCTTCCCTGCGGCGTCCTCCGCGGCAGAGTCGATGGCTCAGAGTGATTTTGCCGCCTTGCCGATTCCCAACGCGAATGTCGCCAATGCGGGACCCCCGATATGGGCGATGCTGCGGAGCAGCGACGAGGCAACGATTCCCTCTTGCTTTATCAGGGTACCCCCGGGGGAGGGGTTCCTCTTTGGCCGCAGCAGCAAGTGCCACGCCACGACCGTGGACGGGTTTGTCAGCAGCATCCAGTTCAAGATTGTGCGGCAGCTGGCCTCGGAGCTTCAGCTGGTGCAGCCCGCCAGCTCGCAGGCTTCGAGCCATCACAATCCCCCCGTTAATCCTCTGCAGCTGTCCACTTCCTCTGGCCCACACTCGTCTGCGTCTGCCGCCGCCGCCGCCGGCAATTGGGTGGTCGTGCTCTACGACCAGAGCGTCAATGGCACGTTCGTCGATGTGAGGAGGGTCGGAAAAGGAAAGTACGTCATTTTGCGGGACCGCGACCTCATCACCTTCAGATTGAGCTCCTCCCAATTCTTCTTGGGGTTCCAGTTCTTGCTGACGGACGAGCGGGGGACGCCGCTTTTGGATCGGGCGGCTGTGCCGGCCGCCTCCGCTGGCATCAACTCCTCAGCCGTGTCAAGAGGGACGCTGCCGCTGCGCCACCGCCCCTCCTCTGAGTGCGGCAGCGTCTTCGGGGCGAGCGGCAGCAACAACAACAACGGCGGTGGCAGTGGCCGACGGCCTACGTCGGCGACGAGGAGCCGCAGCAGCCGCGCCGGTGCCGCGGCGCAGCATCGCGAGACGCTTGAGTGGAAGATCGGGGAGGAGGTGCTTGGCAAGGGGGGCAACGCGGAGGTGTTTCTTGGCATTAACCTGACCAACGGAAAACTCATCGCCGTCAAGCGCGTCCTGCTGCCCACCCTCGCACCCGACGACCCAAACCACAACGCGGTGCTGCAGCAGTACAGAAGCCTTCAGGAGGAGATCAAGGTTCTTTCCAAGGCCATGCACCCAAACATTGTGCAGTACCTCGGCTCTTCGCAGAACCCAAAATATTTTAACATTCTTCTTGAGTTTGTGCCTGGGGGATCGTTGCGTCATTTGCTTGATAACTTTGGGGCCCTAAGCCCGGGGGTGATCTGCTCCTACCTGCGACAAACCCTGGAGGGGCTGCACTACCTGCACCAGCACAACTTGGTGCACTCCGACGTCAAGGCGGCGAACATACTCATCACGGACAAGGGCCGTGTGAAGCTGTCGGACTTCGGTACAGCGAAGCTACTCAACAGGCAGCACAGTCAATCTGTAGATCGCGCGGGGAAAGCAGAGGTTGCCAAAGGCAATGACACCGCAACCTTTCGACTCGCGGGCACGCTGCGGTGGATGGCGCCAGAGCTATTCCGCGGCAGCGCCGGGCCCACAAGGGCCAGTGACATTTGGTCTGTTGGCTGCGCCCTGATCGAGATGCTTTCAACCGAGGCCCCGTGGAGTGAGTACGAGTTCGAAAGCGAGGAGCAGATAATGAACCTGCTCAAATACACCACCGAGCCCCCGGAGGTGCCGGAGTGCGCGGAGCTTCCCGAGCTAACGGCCATTGCAAGGCGGTGTCTGACGCTCGACGCGGACAGTCGGCCGTCGTGTGAGGAGCTGCTGCAGCTGGTGCTGGAGGCGGCGAAGCGGTACCAGGAGCAGCAGGCGAAGTCCCCATCGCCAGTGGACGCGCCCGCTGCCTCGCCCGCCGCCGCCGCCGCCGCCTCCATCGCCTCCGCCGCGACGCTTCCCAGCGAGGGCGTCATGGCGGCGGCGTCCGCGCAGCGGAATAGCAAGCACGAGGGGAGGGCGCAGCATCGCGACCCACAGGAGCCGGCAGGTGCGGCCGCTGCGAAGGGGCCGAAGGGAGGCGACCGCCGACGGTAGCCAGCCGGCGTCGCGCGGTGCGGGCGAGGGAAACGCGTGCCCCGACCGCACACACCTCTGCGCATCTGGGCTCCCCATTTGCTAGAGGCCCCCCCCCCCCCCGTTGCGTGTCGGGTAAGCCATTGAAGCAAAGAACACACACACACACACACACACATAAAAAACGAAAATAGGGAAAGGAAAAAAAAGAACGAAAAATAGTAGACGAACACACACGGAAAGT